AAAAGAGTTCGCTTAAAAATGTATGGGGAGCCAGCTCCCTCCCCCTCCATCAATGCCATTCAGGGCTTCAGATATACGCTTTGCCAAATAGCCAGTCAAAAAGGAATTAGCACTCACGCTTCATTCCACGCCTGCTGCAGAGGTAGGAAGAGCTTTATTTTCATTGGATCACTTGTTCGCTCACCCAGTGTATGCCTCTTGGTGCCATAATGGCGCTGCAGCAATGGGACCTATCGGAGCTCAGAGGTGCCTCAATCTCTTGGCCGCAGTCTCAGGAGAGGCAACCTCCAGCACCCCAGACTGGGAGTCCCCTACAAGGACTCAAAAAAAGCTTGTGTCGAGGGCTGACTTTCAATAGATTGTAGTGAGGGAGCGGCTCTGCTACGTACGAAATCCCGACCAAGAATCAGGTTGTCTACGAATGATTTCGCACCGGGTTCCCCACGAACGTGCTGTGCATTCGGGCAAGAGGCGGCCCCCTTCCAGCCGTGCTCCAGATCTCAGGGCGGACAGCTCTCTGCACCGGGGGCCCCCGGGGAGGGGGTCCGGCTATCTGAGGCCAACCGAGGCTCCTCGGCACTGTGGTATCATTACACCTAGGGGGGATTCTGACTTAGAGGAGTTCAGTCATAATCCCACAGATGGTAGCTTTGTCCCATTGGCTCCTCAGCCAAGCACCAAATGTCTGAACCTGCAGTTCCTCTCATACTGAGCAGGATTACTATGGCAACAACACATCATCAGTAGGGTAAAACTAACCTATCTCATGACAGTCTAATCCCAGCTCACGTTCCCTATTAGTGGGTGAACAATCCAACGCTTGGTGAATTCTGCTTCACAATGATAGGAAGAGCCGACATCGAAGGATCAAAAAGCGACGTCACTATGAACGCTTGGCTGCCACAAGGCAGTTATCCCTGTGGTAACTTTTCTGACACCTCCTGCTTAAAACCCAAAAAGTCAGAAGGATCATGAGGCCCTGCTTTCACAGTCTGTATTCATACTGAAAATCAAGATCAAGCGAGCTTTTGCCCTTCTGCTCCACAGGAGGTTTCCGTCCTCCCTGCTAGGGCCCGAAAGATGGTGAACTATGCCTGGGCAGGGCAAAGCCAGAGGAAAGTCTGGTGGAGGCCCGTAGTGGTCCCCTTACAAGGACTCCGGGGGGGTTCCGGATCAACCGGCTCCCCTCCCATCCGCCGTGTCACGGGCTGCTACTTTTGCAGCACCAAAGGAAGTCGCCGAAGCCGGAAGTCTACTGCTTTTTTCTTGGGGGATCGAGGGGTGGAAACCAGTAAGGTTTTCATTAAGGAGAGTAAAAGCAACTCAAGGATGGCTTTTTCCAATGAGAAAGCAGCAAGGAGGAAAGGATTAATAATTCTGTTTTCCTCCATGATAACACAATCCTGGCAGCCAAATTTTGCCAAAGGAAAAAAAACTGCCATTCGAAATAAACATGGGAGAAATTGTAGCACGTAGTTGAGCCATGAGTTACCAAACTTAGACCAGGTCCCTACTGCTTTGGGTCCATGGCCACTTTTGGAATCCTGACAGAGTGTGGTAGGTACAGCCACAAAATGGCTGCCATAAAATGGATGTTGCTGGTGGAGCTACACAGTTGTTGCCCCAGCTTACCATCAGTCACACAGAGAAAAACCTTGTGCTGTGGTGGCAGCTGCTGCCAAAGCAACATTTTAAAAAATCTGCACAGCCAATCAAATCTCCAGTGGCCAGTTAGAAGCATATAGGCATAAGTTGTATCCATTACACTGTTGGTCTATATAAGGATTTCTCTGTGGGTTGTGTTGAATGTTTAAAGTTTGAGAGTGGAGAGGAGATCTGGCCACACGCTACCAATAATTTCAAAACTTGACTATTGTAACACACCACTACATGGGGTTGCCCTCAAAGACCATTTAGAAAATGCAACTGGTGCTAAGTGTGGCAGCCCACCTAGTACTAGGAGCAGGTCACAAGGATCACATTATACCTACTTAGCAATCTTTGCTCTGGTTACTTATGGTTTCCATGTGCCATACAAGGTGCTGTTGATTATTTTTAAGGCCTTTCATGACCTGGAGCCCATATACCTGAAGGACTGCCTCTCTTGATATGATCTTGTGTAGAAACTTTGCTAATCCCAACAATGTATTTTGGCTGTTCTGACATCTCCCCATAGGGGTACTTTCTGGTTTGGCCCAGTTTTCTGTGACTATGCCACAGAATAGCCTACCAGAGACAGTTAGAAGATCTACATCTCTCTTGCAGTTTCAGAAGGCTTGTAAAGCAGAACTCTGTTTGGATCCTCAAAACATTTGCTTCATACTCTCTGTTGGACTTTGTTCTTAAGTTTTTCTCTATTGGTTGTTCTAATTCTGTTGGTCTTACAGATATGTTATGCTGTACTGATTTGATGTTATTAGTCACCTTGGTCTCAGTTACCTGGGGGAAAGGTAGCTGGATAAATGTTGTAAATAAACACATAAAAATCATACTTCCAATGTGCATACATATTGTCTCATGCACAACACGGGGATTTACACATCCTTCCCACATTGAGAAGTTTGTTATCTGGGGTTGACACATATTGCCGTATTATGTACCTTCTGAAATGGCTTTGTTTTATATTGCAGACTGAATGTTGTGTTCAGTCACACAGCTCACCTGTTTGCTGCTTATTTCCCATTTTTAGAGGAGATATGTACTCTGGTAATTGCAGAGACCTTTCCTGAAGATGCAGGAACCTTCACATGTACAGCAAGAAATGATTATGGATCAGTGACAAGCAGTGCAAAACTGATTGTGCTATCAGGTATTCAGCAGTGTTGACATGATGTTTAATGTGTATAAAACTTGTGATGTCTTCTGGCTGTTCTTGCACACAGCTGCAGAAATGTAGTGAGATGGCTTGTTTCCCCTCCAGGTTCAATCTTCTGTTTAGTCTTTCCACATTCTCCATTGTTGACTGATTACTCTTTGTCTGGGTAGAAAGAATGTGTACTGTTGCCATGAAGAAGAGGCTTCTACATTATTTTAAATTGTAGGCTATAAGAAAGGAAATCATTTTTATCTCTCTAAAGGCAACTGCTAACTGAGGATCAAGTATTGTCAAACATCTGCAACTGAGATACGGTTGCCCTGAGCAGCTACCTGATCTCTATTTCAATATGATGACCTGTTGTAAAGATGCAGTTTGCATAAGAAAATGTTGTGCTGTTGTGGGATTGTCATAGCCGCAAAGCCTCAGTAATGGAAACCTGAAGCTTCCTTAAACTAAGTCAGATCATTGGTCTCTTAAGATCAATATTGTCTGCTCTGACCAGCAACAGCTCTCCAGGGTTTCACACAGAGTTTCCTCCACATTACCCATTACCAGTCCTGTGATGACTGAACCATGGACCTTCTGCATGCAAAGCAGATGTTCTCTCCTGAGTCACAGTCCCTCCTCTAAAGTTGACCAGAGTCCCTTTAGGTTATTAGCAAACACAGAGAAAGAGAATCTTAAAATCTAACTATAAGGTGAGGTGACAAAGGCACATTTGGAGTATATATTATATATGTGATGCACAAAACTTTCTGTGCTGCTATGGAAGAAAAAACATATGCACCAGGGTAGTGTCTAATAGCCCTTTACTACAGATCCTTCTCCCTTCTACTTCCCCTCTCTTTATGCCTTCCTAAATTATTAAGACTTCAGGTAGCTTTCTTTTTAATATGATGGAGCACCCTTTAGGTGAGCTTAGAAGTGTTTAATTGACTGTGTCAACTAACCCTAAAGTTTGCCGGTTCCATCCTATGATGAAACTGCCCACTTACTAAATCACCCACTTATTAAAAGTATATATTGTGGACATTTAGCCTCCAAACAGACCATCTTGACTGATGATTGCTATTTAATAGTGGAAAATCTTAACTTTAAGGGTTTCTGCCCCTAAATTACACTTGGAGAGAAAGTTAAGCAGAGTTGGCCGCTTTTAACACCAAAATCCTAAGGCTAGGTGGCAGCAGAGACAAAATGGGGGGAGAGGGAAACTTCACTGACAAGTGAAAATGAAATCCTCATGCTAGCATAAAATGTGAAACAGAAACATATATTTGGAATAAGTTAGCAGTTCTCACGCATGAAGATGTTGAATGTCTGTGGTGAGTGCTAACAAAATTTTGATGCATATGGTTCAGTTGCTCAGCCAGTACTGAATGTGCATAAATCAATTACTGTTCTCCACTGGCAACAGTTTCTACCTACAACATGGACAATGGCAGTGAATAAATATTCATCAAGATGGTTACATCAGCTCCAATGATCACAAGAATTTGAGAAAGACAGTCCTTTTGGCAGAGTTGTCAGATATAACAAAATAAAATAGTGATGTCACCTTCCATTAACTGTATTTGAAAATAATTCAAACTGTCTGTTAGTAGTTATAGTACAACCTTATAGATGGGATTAATATCTTCTTTTTCCACTTCAGCTGGTTCTGAAAGCTCCATGCATGACTTGTCAATGAGGGAACAGAACAATGATGACTTCCACCATTTCCCACCTCCACCTTCGAGTCTTGAGATTAGTGCTGTTGAGCTTCCTCCAAAGAAGCACTCTGAGAGCCATCAGATGAACAACACTGAACGGAGACCGAGCATATCAGCCCTTCAACTGCAGCTCAACTCCACTGACAAGAAAACCAATGGTGTCCATCCCAGTCATGGAGTTAATGGGGTGTTTAATGGCAATGCCAAAACTGATATACCTGCTCCTCATCCAAGTGGCCTTCTTTCACCCACAAAAACACCACCACCTGTGCTTGCCAAGCCAAAACTGTGAGTACTTACCTTGTTTTGTGATTTGTGCAATACTGATTGGTTAAAAGTTTGCATAGCATGCCAGAATAATTGAATAACAGACAGAATGTGGATGCTCTTGGAGGCTGTTCAACACATGCTGATTTCCTTACAGGAGTGCACACAGTTATAGAAATAGCTTATTCCCACCATTGTTCCTGAGCGCATGTATATGAGCACGGAGCATCTATATGTATGATGTGAGAGGCTTCTGCCAGTTGAAGCATATGATGTGTGGCCCCATCTGAGGATACCTAAATCTGCATATCGGGGCCACACGGAACAGATTTTCCTATAAACTTGGGGGGACCCCCCAAGGTTCGAAGAAACATCTGAAACCTTACAAAATATATTGGGGGGATGAAATCCCCCCCATGTGAAAGAGCATTGGATGCGCACATGCAGACAGCGCACTTACCTTTATTCTGGAGAGCTGATGGTAGCAGACACAGGGAGCCCCTCTGAGCCCAGCTGTGGCAGTGGCAGAGCAGACACTGAGAGCTGTACCAGGAGCCACTCTGGGTCTGGCTGCAGTGACGCTGGAAGCCACACTGGACCCAGCCATAGTGGCAGACACTAGGAGCCACTCCAGGCATGAATGCAGCAGTGGATGTTGGGAGCCATTCCAGGCCCAGCTGCAGCTCCCAGACACTGCTGCCACTGCGGCTAGGGTCACTCCAGGCTCAGCCATGGGGTAGGGGAGATGAGGTTCTCCCTGTGAGCCTCATGTGCACCCCACTTGTTATTCATATGCGCAATAAAAATGAGCTCTAATGTATTTGTGATCTTCATAAATAGTATATAAAATGTGTAATTCTGACAAGGCTTTTTTTGTTCTGCATGTACATCTGGTTCAACATCCATGTGTTAAGCAAACTTTAGTGCTTATTAATTTTAATGTTCTGATCTCTCTTCAAACTCTGTTTCTCTCCTGGGTATTGTGTTCCATTTTTGCTAATTTCTGTAATTAATTGTCCTGCTAGGCTGCTGCTGTTGTTTTGGATAACTATAAGTAAGTGGTTGCTTTATGACAAATGATAACTGGAATAACAATTACGATCGGCAGTGGTGCATTACAGTTTAATGGGACTGAAACCTAGAATAGTCAGATCAAATCCTTTTTTTTGTTCTCGCTTTTTGTTCACTGGATGTGTGGAGTTACATGTTTCTAACTCTGAAAAAGCAGCAATGAAAGTTTCCAAATGTGTGTGTGTAAAAGATAGAAAACGAGAGAGAACAAATATTATTTGGCTGAACAGAAGTTGAACAGTCTTGCTTTGTTCACCTTTAGGTGAAAGTATTAATGTATATTTTTTAATGGATTTTTTTCTTTGTGTCTCTGAAAATCAGACAAAACCATTTTTGTGGTTATTTGTGAGGTTTAGACTTAGTTCTTGTGGCGTGACATCATGGTCTCTTTGTGAGTGAGTGGGATTTGAGCACCAGGTTCAGGTATACGGTGGAAAGCACTGTGGTTTAGACTTAGCTACAAATTATTGTGGCTTTTTTGACTGATACTGAGGTTCAAGAGAGGACATTTTCTAGTTGAAACATGCTCAAGCTACAGGATTACTAATACAAAATCCAGAGACCTAAGCAAATTTGAGGAGAGAGCAAGCACAGGAAGAGGTGATATTCCTGTTGGCTCAGTGAGTGGAAGTACCTTGTTGGAGGAAGGGTGGAGGCAGTTGATGGGCCATAGCTAGGAGGTGGTGGGTGGGCAAGTGACAAAACTTGTTGCTGATCAAGAAGCTGGAAGTTTCCATTTCCTCGTGAAATTGTTGCAGAGTAGACAAAATGCATCTAGTTTTTTTAAAAAATTATCATTTGAAATGAAACTCACTAGGAACAAACCTAATTACATATCTGAAAGCAAATCCTTCATTTGCTTTTGGACTCAAAGCCTGACAACAGATGCATCCATCTTACTTTTCAAGTTTAGTCTTGAGGTGTTAATCTCATGACATTTTGGGCAGCAGCTTCATTTGATTAAGCTGTCTGTCATCTGTTTATTGTCTGCCAATAAACCTGTGGTTCATGGTGCTGTTCAAACTGCCATTTACAATTGGTCTGTCAATATATGAAGGAGATACAGGAGACTGACATACATAGGCATTTGGGGGGGGGCTAAGTTGTTTTTTTATCCTCGATACTACTATATAGAGAATTTCTCATATATAAATAAAAGGGACTTCCCCACCATAATGACATGGGTCAAAACAGATTAGACTCTGGGAGATAACTAGTAGCTGAATGGGTGAAAACCACTGCATTTTAGATGACGTGAGGGATAGGTAACCTGTGTGGCTCTTTATACACGAAGGTTATTGTTTAAGGCTGCAGCCATAACATTATGAAACATTCCTGTTTAAGACGTTTTATGGACATAAAATGCAAGTCTTTGTCTAAGCATCTAATTTGTTATAAGTATGTAACTTAGCATTAAAATTCCTTTATGACATATTTCTATGTCTTTAAAAAGTCAAATGATCTAACTATGGTGTATCCCACAAATGATTCAACACTTCTTAATTTTAGCAGAGCTCAGTCTTTCCATATTATTCTTGGAGGATATAATGCTAACCACACTTTGTAGGAAGTAGGTCCCACTGGAATTGGTGGGACATACTTCCAAGCAAGCATTGTTAGAAGAATGTGGATTTGTTATTAGAGCAGAACATGCTGGTATCTGCAGGGCAATGGATTAATGCAAAATGTGAATTTTTGGAAGGTAGAGGCCATGGCTCAGTGGCAGAGCATCTGCTTGGCATACAGAAAGTCCTAGGCTCAATCCCCAGCATCACCAGTAAAAACAACTAGCAGCCAGTGAAAGACTTTTTTCATTAAACCCTAGAGAGCCATAGCCAATCTGAAGCCCTGGTCACACGGAGCATTAGGCATGCTAGAGAGACAGAAGATAGGCGGATTTTCCGGGCGCGATCTCACCGCCAGATCTGGGAAGCATAGAGCTCCCGTGGCTCACCCGAGGCTTCACTCCGAAGATGCGCTGTAAAAAACTAGTACCTCCGAGGTACTAGTTTCCGGAAACCGTGAGGCAAGGGCGGGCATCAGATCACGTTTCTGGTGTTAGCTCGTGGCATCCGGCGCCCGCCCATGTCCTGTCGCGAAAAGTGGTTTTTTTTTTGTCAAATCTCAACCCAACGGCACATGCGAACACTTGGGTTAAAAAAAACAGCACAACCCCTGCGGCACCACTTCTTTGCCACGCCGCAGGAGTGAGGTATGATCGGCACCTCCCCCCAACCACGGGACGTCAGCGGGACATCCGGCGGGACATTTGATCCGGCTGCCGCACGGTAGTTCGCTCCGGGGCAAACAGCCACGCCTCCCCCCTGCGATATCCGGCCCGGATGACCGGGGCCTGAGTAGACAATACTGATTTTGATGAACCAAGGGTTTGATTTAGTATAAGACAGCTTCACATGTCAATGTGATTTAAAATGGGCGGTGGGAACTATTTGGTAAAAAAGGATGGTTCCTGGCATGTCACCAGTAGAACCTACAGTTTCTTGCACAGTAACTTTCTAATAATCATTAATGATATTAGGTACAATGGGTTAGATCCTACATATGATTCCTGTTAATGAGAGTACCTTCCTCCAATCAGTGTATCTATTCACAAACTGCCGAGAAGAGTGACATTTATAAGAATGAAGGTTATCTTTGGTAAGATTTAGTAATTTCATTTGGCTTCAGTACAACCAAACTCTCAGCCAAGGTGAGTACACACTTAACATGTTGACACCCTCATACATACCCAAAGCTTCCTGTAGAAGAGCTGACACTTCCTGTTAAAAAAGTGTTACTCCCTCTTTGTCCTATTTATGTTGGAAAGTCATTTAGGCTAATCACACTGAATGTTGATAAAGAATGTTTGTTTAGTACAGTCTAAGCTATCTTTCTGCTCGAAAAGAACAAAGCTGTCAGAGTAGACCTTGTGTTCAGAAATGCTGAGTACCATGATCTGTAATTAATAAAGTAGTATCTCTGGATTCTTAATCCTTTTATGTTTAGCCTGTTCCTTGTTGATTGGTTTGTTTTGACTCTGCAGTTATAAAGAATGATATAATTTGGTTTTATTTACACATACCTAATACAGTAGGTGTTTTACCTTCATGAAGAATGATATGTATATAATTAGGCCACATCTGAACAAAAAAGTAGTAATTTTTAATGTTAACTTTTTAATCATCACCTCCACATCTCCACCACTTCTTCCTCCTCCACCAAAATGGTAAAATAGGGAATTCTAGTTTTCACTGAGGTAACAAATTCTAATTTGCTGCCTCAAATTTTCAGGTTGTCTGATCATTCACATAGAATTACAACAGATGAGAGCATTTATCAAATTGAGTATGTATGAAGACAGCCAAAAGAGTGATAACTATCTGAAACTTCTCCAGGAAAAGGTAGTAAAAAATTCTAGTATAATTATTTGAGTGAAGTTTGGATTTATACCACGCCCTTCACTACCTGAAAGAGTCTCAGAGCGGCTTACAATCCCTTTCCCTTCCCCTCCCCACAACAGGCACCCTGTGAGGTAGGTGTGGCTGAGAGAGCTCTTCTGAGAACTGTCCTTGAGAGAACAGCTCTGAAAGAACTTATGACTGACCCAAGGTCACACCAGCAGCTGCATGCGGAGGAGTGGAGAATCAAACTTGGTTTTCCAAAATTAGAGTCCGTGCTCTTAACCACTACTTAACCAAACTGCCATATTACCTAACCAACAACACAGGAGATGACCTGAGAGAAGGTGCTTACTATTTTCCCCCAAGGCAATCCCATAGTGATCATAGGGAGGCCATGTCACTGTTTCTTAACCATGGACCATAATTGACTACTATGAACTGAAATACACTGGAGCAGAAATGCAGTCTACTTGAGCTACAAGATACATTAGTTCAATAAGGACATGACTCCATGTTTCCTCAGCAATTGTGTTGCCCAAATAGTGGGAT